TGACTTTCTCCTAACCTCGTTTCCTTTTTTTCTTTAAACTATACTTTCTTCTCACCGTATTCCCAAATGTAGGTTCTGCAAAGCTGTTATTTGTAACCTATTTCTAAAAGTCAAAAAGCTTTGACAATCTAATTTTCTCTTGAGTTTGGTGCCAAACCATTTGGTGGCCCACCTCACTTCAACTGATACGGGGCTCTTCAAAATGTTTATTTAACCTACTTGAAAAGTATATTAGCATATTTCACTGCAAAACACAGTAATGTTTGATTATGGGGGTCTGCCCCAGGCCCTGCATATAGATACGTGCCATATTCCCTTTCTAGAAGCCTAAATTCTGAATTCTGAAATGCAACAGGCCTCAAAGTTTTTGAATAAGGGACTAAGGGCATAAACCAAAATCATCTAGACTTATCTTCTAAATAATGTGGAATTATATTAAACAGTTAAGGGCACTTGCTATTTTACAAAGGGGGCAAGAACACACTCATACCACTTGTGCTTTGCAGTGTAATATAAAATAGAGCTTATTAGGGAAAAACTTACAAGCAAAGGAAAAGCAGCACTTAGACTCTCCCCAGAGCCTGCACTATTTTCTTGCTTAGGCTGGGCAAATTGGATGCACTGGCCTTAGTGAAGAGGAGCTCTACCCTGTAACACTCTATTAATCTATAAGGGTAAGACAGCAGAAGCTTCCGAGTAACTATGGAACAGCAGGAATTTCCTGGTGCCTTAGTGCTCAGCCTTGGGTATCAGCCTATCAGAATCCTATTAGCTGACGTAGAACTGTTGAGCCAGATTCCTGCTACTACCCAAACAGAGAGAAAGAGGCCTCTAGGGTAATCCAAATTTGTCTCTCATTACTTAGTCAATATAATCTATAATTTAGACAGGCAAAGGAGAAGAATGTTTAATTAATTGGAGTATAAACATATCCTGTATGGCAAAAATCATTATTTACTTACATTTAGGGCATAGGATATAGATAAACCAACTATTGCTGAATCTATGGAATTGTCAGCCAGCACAGCAAGCAGTGCAGCAAAGAACACCATTACGTTGCCAAGAAATTCAAGTCTAACAGACAGCCACCTGTGATAAAGGGAATATATTCTTAAGAAAGAGAGATGAAAAGGTTTTGATGCACTTAGTACTAACTGTCCCCTGGAAATCGAGAAGTAAACATCAATAGCTGCTTTCCTTTTATTCCCCCATTTACTTGGAATTCAGTCAAACATAGGATTTTTACATGATGACAGCTTAAAAAATTCCTCTGCATAAAAATATACTTGCAGAACCTTGCTTTAAAATTTGATCAGAATTTAAAAGCAAAGGAAAAGAACACTAGCCAAAATGATGTATTGCATTTTTAAAATCCCACTGTAAAATCAATTATCTTTCCAATTATATACACTTTTTATATGATAAAATTATTCTCTAAAAATTAAAATGTGCCCAACTACTATGTAATATTTCATTTATTCTCCTTTAAGGAA